TTATGCGACAGAAGTCCACCTTGGATTGGCAGAAGATGCTCTTGGTGAAGCAAATGCTGATCCGACACTGTGCAAATCTTGCCAGCAATCGGTCCAGCGTCGCCAGGTAGCTGTCGAAATCCTCGCCACCGAAGCAAATGTCATTTACAAACGACCGTCGACCAAATACAGGTACCAGCGATGATTCGTCTGGTTCCCCGTTCGTAAACATGTCAGCGACGGAGCTGTTGACGAGTTGTAGTACAGGGTCGGTCTCTACCGGTGCTTCGCGGTCTGCCGCGAACTTCGTTTGAAACGAACCCTCGGCGCTTGGCCCACGACATTCCTTGGCCTGTTCTTCAGCTAAACGCATCCTCTCCGAGTATTCAAACCAACCTCCTTTAGGTTTAACGAACCCCCAGAGTGCGTTGTCAATCATACGCTGGTAGATCATCGGCGCGTTCGTTAACCCGAAGGGCATGCGTAACCACTCGAAATGTCCGAGTGCGCAGACGAACGCCGACACTTTACGCGCTCGCATGGTCATCATGACCGCCCAGAAGCCGCTTGATGCATCCAGCGAGCAGAACCACAGGTAGCGATCGAGGTCTGTTAACAGGTCGTCGACTAGCGGCATTGCATACTCCATGATCGCGGTGATAGCATTCACCATCTTGTAATCAATGCAGAGCCGGATGTCCAGCCCGTTCTTTTTCATCACAATCACGATCGGCGATGCCCATGGACTGTCTGAAAAGACGATCAGTCCTGCACGCAATAAAGCGCGCAGCAGCTCGTACACCTTGCCGAGAAATCGCAGCGGCACGCGTCGGGCACGCTGTTTAATTGGGGCGTGCCCCTGTGTGTCGATATCGCATACCGCACCGTAGGCTGGCGGCGGCAGTGCGTTACCACTAGCAATCAGGATGTGCTCGTGGTTCTTTAGCGTCGCGAACAGACGTTCTCGGCGTTCAGTCGACAGCTCAGGATCAGCATCATTAGGCGCAGTGTAGTCAATTGTCGTGTTGATCTCTTCGGTCAGATCCGGCAGGAATGCCAGCTCCTTCTCGTAGTCTTCCAAGCCAATGTTGTTAGCTGGGTGCTCGTAGAAATCATTTCTCGTATCCTCCGTTGCTTCATTTCCTTCGGTCGTTAGCACTCGAGCAACCGAGATGTACGTTCCGTCCAACGTCGCTACGGATTCTTCCCTTGACTCAACATTGGCGTCCGCTTTGATTTCAATAGTCGGTGCTTGGTCCATCTCCTTCCCATCCTGGTTTCCCATCTCTGGGCCATCTGCCGAGTCGTCGTTCGCAATATTGAATGCGCGGGCCGCCGACATATTGGGTTGCTGACTTTTGCTCAGCTCCTCGTTCTGCCGCCGTCTCGACAGTTCGGCATTCGCACCAATCTTGCAATGAATAGTAGGTGCCGTACTCAACACCTTCAGCGCGATGCCTGCATCCTTCTGGATCAACCACCGACGTCTCGTTTCGCAGATTTGGTGACACACCAAGGCTGGGACCGCTTTCGCCAAAACAGGGTGAACTCCATTAATCCAGTGCTGTTACTTGTCGCTTCCGTGGTCACCCCTGACTGGACACTAACACTCGTTGGCGTATGTACTACGTTTATCGGCCTCAGTAGTTCGTGTGTACGCACTACCGAGGCTTCGTTCACGTTATTGCTTCCGCCATGGGTTGTCGTGTACGTGTCCAAAGGTTCTTCGGAAGGCTGACCGTCAGCCGAATCCCCGGCCGTCACCCCAGACGCCAGACAGACTTCCACTCGTTCACGTTCTTCCAGGATCAGTGCCCAGCGCTCTGCACACGTCGGACGATCACTAGAATCCACTAGCGAGTCTTCTAGAGGTCGTGCTAGCACCCCACTGGGTTCTGGATAGTCCGGTCGATCAACTACCGAAGGCTGAGCTGCAAGCCATTGTTCGTAAATTTCACATTCACGCTGAAAGAGCTCGCGGTCTCTACAACCTTCGTAGGCCAACACTTGCCAGTCTTGGTACTTCTTGGACTCCAGACGCACATAGCCGTCACCTCGTGGCAAATCCCCATCTGGAATCCACATCGCGATCGAATCGTGTGCCGGTAGGTACACAGTTCGATCAGACACGTTGGTCAATCGAATGCTCTGAGGCTGTCCGCGTCGAAACCTCGTTACTGACGGGATTAGCTTGTTCGTTCGACAAACCAACAGTACGTGTTCCTCCAGACCGACGTGGCGCTTCGCTAGTCGATATTCTCGCCACTCGTGCGCTTGAATGTCCAAACGCTCGGGTGGCCCGGCGTTAACATGGGAGCCGTATTCTTCGCTGTCGACATGTTCTTGGTCTTGCTCAGTGGGATTTGAACTTCGTGCGGTAATTGCGCCGCGCCGTGAAACAGGTCCAACCGGATCCCAGCTGGGATCATAAAGTCGGTCTCGAGTACCCCGTCGATACCTGCACTATGCGCCATTACCCACATCTCAAACTCGTACACCATCTCCCATCCAAGCGTAATCTTGACGCGCGCTCGTCGCGTCGTAGACACCTTGCCTTCGTTGATTCCTTGAATGTCAATGCGGCGTCCGTGATCGGGTACATCTCGGAGTCGCAACTTCTTAGCAAAGGCGTCAGTGATCACACTAACGTTCGCTCCCGTGTCGAGGAGGGTCCTCGTTCGCTGGTCGTTCACAGCGACTTGCACCAGAGCTCTCATTCTGATCCGTCGGTCGAATTTCTTGGCCGACCACCACCCCTGTCTCTCGCCAGGGTTCAACTTCATCATCTTGGAGTGACCCTTGGGCTCGTCTCGCGCTGCACTTGAAACCAAGCCGAACAAACCCTCGCTGGTGCCTTCATCAGCATCATCACACTCCACTCTCTCTCCAACACCTCCACCGAGGATTCTACTCCTCTCCTTTTCATTTTCCGTCGCGTTCACACTTGTTATGTATTTATCAGGCCATTCACTCTGCCCCATGAAAGCAAAGATATACTCTGCTTCCATTGAAGGCTCGGTTAACTGTGGCAGCCCGAAAGGGACCAACCCAGTTGTAGTTGGCGGGCTGCCTAGTTTAAATGACGTTCTTGAACGACGGCCTTGAGCTCTGGTGGGAGTTCCTCCTTCGTGCCTTTAGTGCGCACGAATTTGGCAAGGTCTTGGAAGTTGCGAAAAAGTTCGCATTGTCCAGCATCGTGGAGTTGTTTGCAGAACTTGCATCGCTTGTTACAGTAGTGGGCGGAGTGACTCATGCCACCGCACACCGCACATGGTCCGCACTGTAGTCGTCGGTTGTCGCGGTTGAAGTCACGTCGACCGCGTTGGTCCTGATTGAACCCACGGTCACCACTTCGGCGATCTTGATTGAATCCATTCTCGCAATCGGGCGTGTTTCCACGCGGTTGACGGTTGTCTGAACGTGCGTAGGTGCCTTCAGCAGCTGCACGGCGCTCATTTTCGTTAGCAGCGGCGAGGTATCGGTCGTTTTCATCCAATGAGAAATCACCATCCGTAAAGACCTCAAAATTAAATTCTAAACGCGCGATTGCACCCAATATCGATATAGGATTTACTAAATATAATATCACTTACACTCTCTTACACAATGTTGGGCAACGATTATGACCAGTCGTTTTCAATCAGAACTTCTGATCTAGCAGTGCTATGTTATTCTGGTTGACTGCCTCTTAATTTCATTTCTATTTTTGCTTGCTACTTACGTTGCCCGAAGACCATGGTTCTAGCCCCTAAGTTCACGACCTCCCACCTGTATCGAATAGCCTATAGTATCGAGATAGAGAGATATCACTTTAGAGATTGATATTAAATAATACAGGGGCTCTTTCAACCAACTGTTTGGTTGAGGGCAGTTGGAAGGGGAGACCAGAACACTTTGCTTTCTCCCCGCCAGCCCCAACACTCTCTTCGTTCTCCTCTTCCTCCGACAAGGGGCCAGTTTGATACACTGGTAGCACTTGTTGGTCTAGAATCGATGACCATGGCCCCCGCGACGCGCAAGAACGACCAAGACGCGGCACCTGGAGGAGAGAGACAAGCCGAGCTGGAAGCGCAGCTCACGCCGCTACGTGCCGAGATTACGGTCCTCCAAGTTAACAATCAAGCGCAGCGTCAACCGCCGATAGAGCCCAAGGCTCGCGTTCCGAGTGGCCTGCAGAAGTTCAAGGGGAAGCGCAACGACGATGTGCGCCAGTGGCTCTTCCAAGTGGAGACTGTGCCGAATCAACGGTCACGACGCGACGGACGACAACTACACGCTGCCTTTGATCGTTGGGACGGTGATGGAGGAACCTGCATCAGGATGATTTCTGTTCTGGGCCTCAAAACCTCCCGCGGGTATGCAGACGTGGCGTCAGTTCACGGATGATGCCCTCGCTCACTTCGAAGCCTCCAACTATCAAGCGGTGCTACGATAGATGCTACGTGAGCTCCGCCAGGTCAATGACATCGAAGTGTGCAATGGGAGGTATTCGTCGTTGATCTTCCGCGTTGAGGACATGAGCGAAGTCGACCAGGTCAGCTAGCCTCAAGCGGGCGACTCAAGCCTATGTTAAGCTTCAACAGGCGACGACGCTGAGTGAGGCGATGGACCATGCTGCCAAGTATGAGATGTTTCATTTTCGGTGGCGAGAGCAAACCGACCCGCGAGAAGCCGGAACGTGAGCAACAGTCCCGCGGACGAGCAAGCTCTAACCAGTCCGACAACAAGAAGCCGTTCAGCAAGAAGTCCTTCAAGCCCGGTCACTACGCTCCCGCGAACCAAGCCAAGGAAGGACCCGTGTGCTACTATTGCAAGAAGCCAGGGCACTTCAAGCGTGATTGCAAGAAGCTGAAGAGTGACGAGGGAAACGATCAGCCACGTCAGTAGAAGAGGGACCTGACGTGGCAAAGGCTAGCGAAGAAGATTTAACCGTAAACGCCGATACGTTGAATCTACTTTGCGAAGCCCTCTCGTCTACACTCGTGCGCCATTGTTTTCGATTGAAGGATCAATAGTACAGGGTGTAAGCAATCTCGATGCCAAGATCCTGTTGGATTGTGGTGCCACAACCGTATACGTGTCTCGTGGATTCGTCAAGAAGCACGAGCTAAAGACACACGCTTATACCGACCGGACTATCAAGGTGAAGCTCGGCGACAACAAGATCGACGAGTCTATACTGGAGTTGGTGAAGATCGAGATTCTACTCCAAGGTGTCCCACATTACCAGTGTGTAGCAGTTGTCTTCGATATTCCGGAGGAGTTTGAATTTGTTCTCAAGAAGCCATTCTTTGTGGATGGACATCCGGAAATCGACTAGAAGAATCGATGCTTCAAGGTATGCGTCTCAGATGAAGCCTCAACGGCGGACATTTCGACTCCCTGTGGGAAGTGCAGTCAGGTTAGTGGCTCTGGGCTTCACGGTGTTGCGGATTGCGAACGCTCTTCCGCGATAAGCCGTGATTCTTGTTGAGCCGCCGGGCCAGAAACACCGCTAGAGGGCGAAGTTGAAAGCGTTGAAAGACTAGTTGAGGACGTGGAGAATTTCTCAAAGCGTGAGAAGAAGAACGCTAGAGCTGAAGCAATGTTTACTCTCGGAGTGGTTGATTCGGAAGGAGTTGAGACCAAGTACATCACTAGGAAGAAGCTACGGAAGTTCCTACGGTTACCTGCGCTAGGAAGAAGCTACGGAAGCTCCTATGGTGGACCAACCGGAACACGACTTCATGATTAGGGTAACGAATGATATGACCAAGAAAATCGAACGCGATCTTAATAGGAACGATGAACCGGCGAAGGTCAGGTGATTTCTAAACACGGAATGGGAGACGTTCAAGGATAACCCAGCATATCCTGTTCTCGTCGAGTACAAGGATAATGTGTTCAAGCCAGGGTTGCCCGATGGACTACCAATGGAGCGCGACATTGAACATCGTATCGACGTGAATGACCCAAACACGGCAATGTATCGGCAGCAGTGGTATCTTTCGCCAGAGCAGAAGACGGAAATCAACAATGTGGGAACCAAGCTCAAGATGACGGTAGCATACCGGGATAAAAGCGATGGCCAAACGGAGAGGACGAACCAAGCTCTTGACGCGTACCTCCGCTGCTTTGTATCTCCACGAAAAGATGACTGGGATGTACACCTTGCGACCGCAGAGTTTACCATCAAGTCAGCGGTCAACTCAATCACCAAGATGTAACCATTCGAGGCCGACATTGGATACGTCCCGCATAACCCACTATCTGCTGTTGCTATGTCAAGTCGGCGAGGATTGCGCGGGGGACGACACCAAGTCGTTCAGTTTACGGAACATCAAATGGCCGCACTTCGCCAGTGTCAGGAGGCCCCCGAGGACGCGCAAGCCCGTATGGCCGACGTGTACGACCGCGGACGCAAATAACAAGACTTCAACGCTGGTGACCAAGTGTACCTAAGTACGAAAAATCTGGAATCGGCGCACACGGGGTTTCCCAACTCACTCAAACTTGGACCCAAGTGGAAAAACCTGGACTCGGCGCACACAGGGTTTCCCAACTCACTCAAGCTTGAACCCAAGTGAATTGGATCGTATTCCGTCGTGCGTAAGATACATCGACACTCGTACGAGATCAGCTTGCCGCCCGGACGCAAGCTACATCCAGCCTTCAGCACCGGCTGACTCAATCCGTACGAGTCTCCGACGCGTCTCTCGCGACCTCACGAGGCAATATTGCACGATGGCCAGGTGGGACAGATCCCGAAGCAGTTATCAACAAGCGCCAGCGCAAGGGGAACGTACAGTACCTCATTCAGTGGGTGGGTGAGTGGAAGACGACGTGGGAACCGCTCGAGAACTGACAGGGTTGATTCAAGCATACGAAGCCAAGACATCTTAAAGATCAAGAAAAAGACGACGTCAAATTTCTGAGGACGATATAGTAGGTCGACGGACACGACAGCAACTTAAGACTCAAGATTAGCGATTTCATTTCAAGATTATGTTCAAGATCCAGTTAAACGTTCAAGGTATACAAACTTCAAGATTTTCTTCAAGTTCCAGGCGCAAGTTCAAGTATACGAACGTCAAGCTAAAAAGGAGCCGTGCTATTATCAAGTCAGCCTACTTTTCCCTAGACCGGTAGTTTAGCAAATCAGGACGCGTCGGACGAACCGCACTTTTGCCAGGGGCATTCCAACAGTGACATCTGCACGAGGCTTTCGTCGGTAACGAAGCGATCGTGGTTCGACACCTGCAGCATGAGCGCGTGCGACTTACGCTGGGGACCTGGGAGACCACCTGCGCACAGATACACGCCAGGCGCCAGCAGACAGAAATCCAGACCGACGCAAGCTGTACACCTTCGAGACGAAACTAGACCTGCTTCCCACCAATCGTATCCTTACAGTACTCAGCGCGACCAGCGGCACGAGCGGCGCGGTTGTATTCCGAATGAAGGTCCACAGACAACACCAGCAGATGTGATTGGCTTGTTAGTAGCAGCACGCACACATTACAACGCATCGACAGCAGCCGAGTACCAGTCGGAGCTCCCAAGGGCGTCGGCAGCGAGATCCAGAGTGCGGAAGGCGCAATGGCCATCGCGGGAGGCTCCCATGGCCGGTGAGAAGTCGTCCGGCCGCGAGAGAGCAAACTCAGCGAAGGTCATGGGACCACCGGTGGCTTTGTACTGATCAACGAGCCCAAGATACTCAGTGAAGCCATCTTCTCAAGGAGCCAACGGGGCTCCCAAGAACCCTCGGTTTTCCCTGCAGAAATGATGTACTCAGCATAATAGCGAGAGTCTCCATTTACCTGCGCGCCAAGACGGTCAGAAATGATCCAGACGTGCCAGCGGGGCGATGTCGGCACTTTGAGCTGAAGACGTCTTCCGTCGAGCTTGGCGGCTGAGGGACGCGCGCGGATATCGTCCACTAGCTGACGCATTCTACTTGGTTCGCGCCATGACAGGCTCTCGAGGGAGCGAGTAGTTGCGTAGCCAAGGACACAAACACAACAGGGCGGCGGACACAGCGGCAGTGGTGAGCGTCGACTGAGGTAAGTTGCTAACTGGGGAAAGTCTAAGGCTGGTGAGAAGCTGCGATAGTGGAGACCAATGCGTAGAGCAAGGACGAGCAACGGATACGTCAAGACCGGCGACGGACTCAACCGCACTTGTATGACGAGCATTTCAAATGCTGGAGGGGTGAGTGTATCGAATAGCCTAAATTATCGAGATATCACTTTAGAGATTGATATTAAATAATACAGGAGCTCTCTCAACCAACCGTTCGGGGGAGGTCGATATTAAATAATACAGGAGCTCTCTTAACCAACCGTTCGGTTGAGTCGGGGAGACCAGCACACTTTGCTTCCTCCCCGCCAGCCCCAAGACTCCCCTAGTTCTTCTCTTCCTCCCACAAGGGGCCCGTTTGATACACCACCCGTCGTCAGCCTCAATGCTCTTCCTTTTACGTGGTAATAGCCAGGGTTAAGTCAATACGGCGCATGTTTCCTCGTCGACCCTTACGCTTAATTTTTACAGTATGCCTTTGTAGGCCTCTCTAAGGGAAACAGAACGTCTTAACCACCTCCACGCTCATCCAGCCCTCTAATTCTCAAATATTTTGCTTTTTAAATTTTAGAGCTTCTTCGCTGAGGCGTTTAAAGCCTCAGCGAAGAAGTTGAGAATTTGTCAACTTTCAAACTCAAACAGTGGGTACACCGTAGTTTGGGCAAATCTACATAATTTTTAACTAACCAAAATAAAAGTGTCGACTTTGGATGAAAATGAGGCCAACATTGGCCGGGCAAAGGTGTAGAATGACCCAGGGCCCCCGAAAAAAAATTGACGACACAGTAATTTCAATAAATAAGCAGACATTATTTATGTTGTCACCCTAAACTAGGCTCGTGCATAATTTATGGTGGCTGCATATTACATACGGTAATTTATGCGTACAATTTCCTGAAGTTATCTGCAGCAGTCAATCGATCGCCACGAACCAGTCGTTTTGTTGCCGAATCGGCTGATCTCAGCAGACTCATTTTCTTTTCTCTCACTTCCTACGCCGACACTCCCGTTACCATGGTCTTCTCGTCTCGACGCAGTGTGCGCTCCACGTTCACGCCAGCACAAATTGCTGGGTTCTTCTTTCAAACGTGCCGCGACGAGTTTGATGAAGTCATCCTCGAGTACTACCGCTGTCGTTGCGGCACGGTTCGAAAGCAGGCTAGCCGCAATGGCTTTTCCAACCTGGTATCGCACGTTCGAAGCGAGCACCCAACCCATGAGAGCCTCATGCTCGCCGCCAGCTCGGCCGAGACGGGGTCTATCCTCAACTACGTGCGGCGCTCCTCTCTCAATCTATTCAGCTGGATGGAGTGGATCCTAAAGAGAAATCTTCCGCTGTCATTCTGTGAGAATGAGGCGGCCAAAAGGTAAGTCATACGCATTTCTAAAGTTGCCTATGAATTTCTAACTTCTGTTTCTATTTACTTTCTATAGGCACTCTAACCTTGACTCAATTTGTGTCGAGACGCTCGTCTCTGGCATGAGTAGTGTGACGCGGGCCGTGGAGCGTGGCATCGCTGAAGAGATGCCTGACCTTTTTGGGCTAATCTTTGATGGGTGGTCTCATGCTTCAGAGCATTACATTGCAGTGTACGCTCGCTACGAGGTGGACGGGGTCGTCAAGACTACCGCAGTCGTCACGCAGAGTCACTCGCACGGCGGTACCGACCAGAACATTGGCGCCCGCCACTGCCTCGTTCGGTTCCTCAGCCAGTTCCACGCAGGCAGGCACGCCTCGGCAGCCCTGCAACACCAGTCGTCTCGATAGCCGGGGGGGGGGGCTCTCGAGCCGGCACCAACATCCTCACCCACGAAAGCCACACGGTTCCGTCCCAAGCCAGTGCACCACCTGTTACCGACATGCCGACTTTCCTTGCAGAGTTCTTCCGATTCCTTGGGGGCCGAGCGCCAGTCATAGCGTCCGCGTTACCGACCCTCCCAGCGGGCCCGTGCCTCTCTGCCGCACTGGCCCTAAACTCGCGGGCGCTTCCAAATGACAGAGGGCCCCTGCCTCCCGCGACATTGTGTAACCTGCGGGCTGCTGATTTTTCGCCACCCGGCTATCGCGTGCGTGGCGACTTTGTGGTGAAGTGCTTTCTCAAAAAGAAGAGACTGGATCTGACAAGGGGTCACTATCCCAGATTAGTGACAGCACCTGGAGGTTAGGGAGGATCTGGACTGCCCGGCATGGATCCTCGCTACTAGAAGTG